CGGCCATATTAACAAGGAAAGATCGAAATTTTTACAAAATAAAGGAATTTTTAGAAATTTAAATCTTGGTGAAATTGGCTCCTATGAGCAATGTATTATGAATTCAACGATTTTTATAAAGAGCATGGTATTTTGAGATATAAAACAGTTACCTATATACTTTAACAGAATGACATCGCTGAATGAATGAATATGACTTTATTTAATAAAGTAAGAAGCATGTTATTGAGTTTAGGCTTACCTAAACTATTTTGAGATGAAGTTACTAAAATTGATGTTTATCTTTTTAATAGAATTCCTGCTAGTGCTTTAAATTTCAATGTGCCTGAATCTCTGTGGTCTCAAAAGCCTGTTAATTATTCTTATCTGCAAATATTTTCTTATGCTTTATATGCTCATCAAAATATAGGAAAACTAAAACTTAGATCACTTAATTATGTTTATTAGGTTATGATGTACAAGCTGTGGGTCAAAGATGAGAGAAGGTACAGGGTTATAATATGAAGAGATGATGTTTTTAATGAATCTATTATGACATGTTAGGAAGGAAAGACAAATGACTTAACTGAAAAGGATGTTTACATTGAGGTGGAGATTCCTCACTGAGAAAGAAGTAGTACTATGCCTCAAGAAGAGTAATTTGGCCAAACAAGTGATGTACCCTTAGGGAAGATTGAAGTAGATAGGGACACTGATCATGAAGACCAAATAGAACTTGTAACATTGCTCATTGATGATTATCAACTCACAAAAGATAGACAGAATGGGGATTAGACCTCCTTCCAAGTTGATAGTGATGACTTTATCTCGCTATTCACTTATCAAGAAGAGGCTGAAAATGGACCAAACTCCTATGATGATGCTATTAAAGACAAAGATTCAAAAAATTGGGTAGCTGCTACAGAAGAAGAAATGGCTTCTGTCTTTAAAAAATAAAACATGAGAATTGGTGAAAAGGCCTAAAGATCATATACCAGTTGATTGCAAATGAATCTATAAAATAAAGGAAGGATAATGGGGCTATACTAATGTTAAATACAAAACTAGACTTATTGCCAAAGGGTTTACAAAACAAGAGGGTATAGACTATAATGAACTATTCTCCCATGTAATTAAAGATACTACTATTAGATGTATTCTTCTATTTGTTGCTCAATTCTAATAGGAACTTCATTAGTTAGATGTCAGAATTGTTTTCTTGTATGGTAAGTTAGATGAGGAAATTTATATGGAAACAACTTGTTGGTTTTATTAAAGGTGATTGTGATAAATCTGTGTTTGCTGAAAAAAATCATTGTATGACTTGAAACAAGTTCCAAGATAATTGTATAAAAGATTTGACTCTTTTCTCTTGATGCTTGGTTTTCAAATAAGCAATTATGATACTTGCTTATACTGTAAAGGTGATGGAGGAAAAATTCTCTATATTTGGTACTTTATGTAGATGATAAGCTTCTCGACAGTTTTTGGTAAATCTGAAATAGATGATATTAAACAAAAGCTTAAATTCGAATTTGAAATGAAAGATCTTGACTTTGCTAAAAAGATTCTACGTATGAAGATTATAAGAGATAAAATAAAGATTTATTGTACTTGAATAAACATGATTATGCGGATTAAAATTTGAAAAGATTTGATGTGTTTGAGTGTAAACATGTGACATTATCTCTTGCAAATCACTGTCCTCTGATTGCTTTCCGAAAACTAAGAATATGATAGAATGTCTAAAATTCCTTATGCTAAAAGCTATTGATTGGATCTGTAATGTATTTGATGATGTGTACTAGGCACGGTCTTGCTCATAGTATTAGTGTTCTAGTAGATTTATGAAAAACCTTGGGAAAGATCATTGGGATGCTTTAAAATGGTCGATGAAATATCTTAAGGGTACTTCCAATCTAGGCTTGAATAAGAAAGGGGTAACATTACAAGGATACACCTTGGGAAAAACCTTGGGAAAGATCATTGCGATTCTAACTTCTTCTTTCTTGTGGATGGAGATAATAGGAGATCAACTTCATCCTATTTTTTAACTCTATGTGAAATTGTTATAAGTTGGAAATCTCAACTTGAAAACATAGTTGCTCTATCTCCAACAGAGGAAAAATATATTGATGTCACTGATGCTATAAAATAAGGAATGTGATTAAGCAGATTAAAAGAACTTGGTTTTATTGATGAAATGAGATTCTGTTTTTTGACAACCAAAGTACAATTCATTTAAGCAAAAATCCCATGTTCATAATAGAACAAAACATATTGATATTAAATATTATTTTATAAGAGATATTATATTTAAGGGGATACTCAAAATAGGTAAAATTGCAACTCAGTTTAATCTTTCTGATATGGGAACTAAGGTAATATCAATGAATAAGTTCTATAATTGTTTGAAATTGTTATCCATTGATTCTGTGAAATAATATCCAGGTAAAAAGAGCAAATGTAATATAAATGGCTGGTGATGCTCTTTGTTACACAATGAGCCAAATTCTTGGTAGCAAGGTGACGATTGTTGAGTGATTTTCTATTGTGTACGGTTGATAAAGTGTGCTTCCAAAATTTTGGTTCAAGTAGCATTTTTGAAATAGCAACTTCGTTAGTGGAAGGAGTTGATAAGAACTTGACACGTGAGACACTTCTGGCAGTTGGATGAGATGAGCTTCTGGATTATTCTAATGGTTAAATACCTCATTTAGCCAACGTCACTTCTTTATTCTGCGAATGACTTTTGGGTTAAGATAGTTTTTCCCTCGTTGGTTAGGGTTCTTCATTTTGATCTGCTCTTACTCAAAAACCTCATTCAAGGGGCTGAAATCTTGTAATCCTTGTTCTGTACTAATGATTTTGAGTGATATGTGTGCAAGGATTTGAGTGTTCTTCTATTTGTAAGATTCGACCTAGGATTTGAGTGATTTTATGTGAATTCTTGGTGATTAGTACCTTCGATTTGCAAATTGTGAAAAGATTAGTCTTCTTGTGGCTTGATCTGTATATTTTTGAATTATCTTGTATCTTGATTGTCGTTTTTGACTTTACAGTGCAATCGAGCATTATCCATTTTATATGAATGCTCAACAGGGCATTAAATATTAGAAGCGGTCACCTAACCTCTAAAGCTTTGGCCAAAACAATTCTCTGTGTTCTTTTTTTATGTTTGCAAGTTTTACATTATGTACTTTTAGATTCTTGTGGTTGATCGCTTATACTTTGTGTTTCTGGGCATTCCAAAATCTAAATGAAAGGTTTCAAAATACCCATTTTCCTTCATGAGAATATAAATATTAAAATTATATTGTATTTTAGTGGTTCTTTATAATGTATAATGGCCTTTAACCACTTCTGGAAACTAAATTTATCTTGGAGAACATTTTATGTAGTTGTATCAAATAAGAATGGCAACATGGCAGGTTCTAGGGAAGGACTACATTCTCCTTCCCCCTCTTCCCCGACGAGAACTCCCACATCCCATCTTTGTTTATGCAGTGGCTGGTTGGGCCCAATCCCTGATTAACCTCACTCAAAAGCCGTCAGTTACCATCGTTATTCAATACATTGCCATCTTACATCCTTCTCCACCACTTCAAGTGAGTTGTTGCACTAAGCACGCCCAAAATTGTCATCATTTAGCCCCCGTTTGGCCCCTATTAAATTACATTCCATTACATTCTATTTTTCTCTCTCATATTTTCAACCACATAATCTTTCATAAAATTATAATACACGTAAATCGAAAAATTTTCCTTATTTTTTAACCACTCATTTTAAAAATAAAAAAAAATACTATTCCACCCATTTTCATTACCAAAAAATGGGGTCCAAACGGGGGCTTAGTTGCTGGCAACTTTTAGGTTGTCGTTTTTGTTCTTGATGGGGCATTCCTGGGAGATATGGGTTGAGAGGAAGAAAGTAGAATGCATACCTGGATTTTTAGTCTTGCCCATGGATTTGAGCAATGAATTTAAAATCAAACTTACCAACCTTATCAAAATTGGACAAAGTAACGACAAGAAATAGAAGAATAAGCACCACCAAAATGACCTTAAAATGCAACTGGGAATAGACAAAATAATACCAAGGAAATGAACCCTAAGTCAATGCAAGAATTGAACTCTTTGTCCTCAAGTAGATTTTTCCCCTCAATAGATGATGGTAATCAACTCCCAAGATATAATTTGACTATCTTCTTGTGTTTGAACTGTATTTGTAGCACTCTAAAACACAAAAACAATGAATCAAAATATGGCTTTTGTACTCTTTTCTTGCATGAAACGAAAATAGATTTTTATGCAGAATTTTTGCTAAAGAAATATGAATTTCTATGTTATGCTATGATTGCATATCATTGGGATGTTTTAATGAACGTCCCAAGAGTTTTTATAGAAGATGAGAGGTTGTGAGTAAAGAAATACGCTCCAAAACTCACTGGCCTTCATGGGGCGCAACCCATTCTGTCGTTAGCCTAGCGCTAGTGTGTTGCTCGAGAGCCAGGGATGTTATTTTAGGCAGAGACCTATCGCTCGAGTGACAGTCTTATCGCTTGCTCAACGCTTGAGTGCAAGGCGAGTGGTGGATTTGGCAAAATCTTGGATAGCTTCCCCTCTTTTCATTCCATCTTTGAATTATAATTTCTCATTCATCTGAAATTGATTTTATGCTTAACCAATTCCAACAGAATTATTAAATCAATTTAAGCATGCTTGGATGTCGGTATAGAATTTTAAAATGTTATAATAAAATATATCTAGACCATTAAATTAGTTTAAGTTAATGATTGCGGTGATTTGTCAAATCCCTTGGTGGGAAGAATGATCCCTTTGTGGGTTATAAACATTTTCATCAATGTTTAACTTAAAACGACGTCTTGCTTATATATACTAGTCTATAATTTTCAACATATTTTAGGTGAAAACAAGAAATTTTAGAGTTATTTCCCGAAAATTATCCAATATCTAATAAAATCGCTAGAAGTCGTTCCAATCACGAAGATAATATTTTTGAAATAAAATTAAGGTGCATCAGAGGGAATAATTATTCGATGGTTTTGGCATGAGATCTACGACTACGAGCACAGTTATAGACAGAACAAAATGCTTGCAAGATCATCAACAGCAATATCAAAATAACTGCTACTAAAGTGAGAGACTGCCATGACCCAGGAACATGTTTCAACAAGTTGTCAACTTTAACCTTCCATCTTCCGTTGTAATTCTTGTTCACATCTTCAATCACTTTATCCAAGAAGGATACCTTTGTTAATCTAATAGACTTGCTTATGCCATTCCACAAATTTGCTACTTCTTCATCACTCTTCAACTGGTTCGAAATTATGCCATGTTCTCTAAGAAACTTTGCATCATCTTCAGTGTCGATAATTCCGTTCATTAATTCGGTGTATCGAGTAAAAACCAATGGCCCTGATGCATTGCAGGCCTCGTAAGCCACCAAATTTCTCAGAACGACCTCTGTGTTCCCATCTAAATTAACTGTGGGGAGATAAAATGTAGATGTTTTCTCGCCGAAATTAATGCTCAAAATGCCTAAATCTGTGGCTGAAAATTTGACACCAGCCTTTGAGAGTTCAGTTACAGAAGGAATAGTAATTTCCTCCATTAATGGAGGTTTGTTAATGGAGACATTCAAGTTACATGTTTCATTATCCGGTTTACGTTCTTGCTTTTCTTGAGAAAACCATAAGTATTCAACAGGTTGTTTTATAATTATTACTACAGGAAGATTAGAGATAATTTTCCAAGGTAATTTAAATATCAATTGAGCAGGTCTCGAAAAAATTAATCTCTTGATCAAATTTACAGGACTTGCCTTCAATTTCGAAAAAGTTTTTGCCAAATAATTTTTTTCGCTTTCTTGTTTCTCGTTTTCATCTTTTCTCTCCTTGGATTCTGCCATTTCGGACGAACCCTCTAATTTTGGGACAATCATATGGTACAAAAGATCTAGCAAATGTGCACACTCCACAACCTGAAAATTAGGCCATTCTTGTATCTTCTTAAAAGGCGAAAGCTCTTTAGAGAATCCCGTCAACATTGAATGTAGCGCACTATCTGCTTCCTCCAACGATGAAAATTGGAATTCTAAAATTTTTCTTAAGGAAAATAATGGAATCTGATTCTCAAGCATCACCATATCTCTTAAAATAGCATTATGTGCTGATTTTCTCCCTGATACATCAATCAAATGAAACATTGTGGAAGAAACCTTAGTTAGTACCTTACCTTCTTTAACAACAAATATTTGTAGGAACTCGAGCAAGAAAGATGCATCCACAGCGATCATCCATGCTAACGTTTCGCCATTGAAATTAAGGTACTTGTTGTAGGACGCTCGAAATCGAGGCTCAAATTTTCTGAACTGATCTACTAAATGCTGGAATTTGAAGTTTTGGAGCTTTTTCTGGGTTGTTTTAGCTGCAGCAAGTTTATACGTCTCGATTTCATAGAGCTCGGGGCGGAAATGGTGATAAGGGCCTATTGCTATTTGTTGCGGTACGAAGGAATCCGGGTTGGTAGCCATTAGGGTTTTTGGGACTCTGAAGATTGAGACAGGAATATCACAATGATCTCCTTCAATTTCATCTATCTCTATAGTTCGACGAATATGAAGTACCCAACGATGTTCATCGAAGTCTTGATTAGAGTTTGAAGTCATGTTTGGATGCGAGAAAAACATATCTACTGATTTAGTTAGGTGTTTCTTGGCAATTTGACAATTTTGGTTTATTTAATAAGGGAAATTGAAGAATTAATTGCTTTAATGGTCACAACATAAACCAAGTTATAATGTTGTCATTTATGAAATATAAATGCTCTAGTCCCAAGTTAATATTATTATTATTATTTTTTTTTTTTAGGATTAATCGAGCAACATTACCATTTTATCTTCGATGCTCCTATATTCTGGAGATTGGGAAAAAGTTTTGAGTGAATATTAAAATAAATAGAACGGCGAAGGTTTTTATCCGAATATGTCTGAGTATGTAATTAGATAAGCGTTAGAGACTAAACATGACTATAGTGGGAGGTCATATAAGTCATCCCAAGGGTACTGTTCACCTCAAATTTTGACCAACAAAGCCCGTCCATCTCCCAATCCGCTTAAGATTCCCCTAAGCACTGAAGCACACCGTTAGGGTGCAAAAGGTCGTCGGTCGAGAAAAAGATTCTATGATTGTTTGTACTACTAGTCAATTGTCCAAAAGATAAAATGAGTGCAACCCAAGACGACTTTACTTGATTATTGACTCAATCCAATTAGCATGATCAATCAAGATGTCAAGTAGGCTATTATGGGATCCCTCCGCCACGTAATTAATATGGATAACAAGTACCTAGTCAACCAAATATAAACACTCCCCCCCCCCCCCCCCCGACATTAGTGTCTTTTCTTATCTAATCAGTCTAACATCAAGAGCAATCCTATTCAAGAAAGGTGTTCACACCTTTTTTGTGATCCTTGGAGTGTAATTGAAAAGATTGAATGGTTCGAAACTAAATTAAAGTCGCAGAATCCAAAGAAAAAGTGTTCAATGTGTGAGATAGCCTTACAACTCTTGTGTACTATAACTACATATTATTATCAATTTCGAAATCCAATAGATCGCATGAAAGCATAAATGTAGATTTTTTAAAAATTTTGTAACATTATAAAGATTTCTTGGTCATTGTAGTTATATAGTAACAAAGTACTTTGCTGTTACATTTGTACCCCAACTTCCTAATTCTTCATTTGTACCAACTAAGGTACAAGTGTTCTAGCAATAAGCATTTCAGAATATTCTCCTTCGCGTAACTCCACCTTAGAATCTAGGAAGGATTGAATCTAAAAAAGTGTTTGGAAGAAGACATGCTAAAATGTGAAGGTACGTGCAAGAGAGGGAGTGATGATTGCTACATTGTCTAGGTTGGTTATCCGTCTCATGCCTTGTGAGGACCAAGGCTAGAGCCCAACAAATTAGTACAAAAGGTTCAATGGTAATTATGATTGACAAGGAGAAATAAATAAATAAATATATATATAGATACACACTAAGAAAATAATTAATTAATATTCTTACTTGGGGCGTTTAAGAGTAGAATCCATGAGTGAGGGGTTAAAGTAGTGAACCCAATTCAGCCGAATAGTGAGGTGAAACCGAGAGCAATAGGGAAAAATTCATGCGAGCTTGACAGCTTGCGAAGTTGTGATAAAAATGTCTTTGATAGACGAGGATTTTATGTGCCACAATTTGACTTTTTTTGTTTTTTTTTTTTTTTTTTTTTTTTTTTTTTGTTTGATTTTTTTAGTGTCTTGGTTAGCCTCGAACTTTATCTAGAGTCACCTGAATTATATCAGGATTAGTACCTTAAACGCATGATTATCCTTTGCAATGATACTCTTTAACACACAGATAGATAAGGAAGACATGTAGTCTAATATCACTTGTTGGGAATTTGGGTCCATTATGAGATTCACCTCTCAAGTTCATCCACCAGGAAATAACTTAAACAAAAATAACCAAAAAAAAAAAAAAAACCCAAAACAATTTAAATAGAAAAATTTAAAATTGAACAGAAATCATTTTACGGAAACGTTACAATTACATTGTATCGATCTCTCGTACCCAAAAAGCCCCAAGCATGCAAGAATGGTAGTACACAAATGCTACAAAACAATAACTAGTTCAAGAAATAGGAAGGAAAATATAATTTGTTCTTTCCTTTCGTGTCTCTTTTCCTCGTAATCGCTATGTAGATTTTATTTTTTATTTTTTCAAAGTAGTTAGGAACTCTTTATATTAAACTTCATTTACATATGTTCTTTCAAGCCCTTGTTTAATGTAATTAAAAATCAAATTTTAGAATATTTTAATAAAAGTTGATAAAGTGTATAATTGAAAAATAGATAAAATTTACAACTCCCATAAAATATGTTATTAAAATTAATTAACTTTCAAAATTTTAAATTGCACCAAACGCGTTAAACATCTGACGAGGAAAATCCCAATATACTGTGATTGATATTATTATGTCTTGGATCATTAGTGGAAGACATGACAACAGTCAACAACCCAAGTGGTACTACTTGAACAATGAAGCACGATTAGTATGGGCATGATGGGTAATTGATTGCAAAGGCGAGTGGACATTAAAAAATAATAAAAATAAATAAATAAATAATTCAATCAAAGACGAGTGGACATTACTAAATAAAAAAATAAAAAATAAAAAAAAAGCCTTATCTGATAACTTAAAACTTATCTCCTTGTTTTTCTATAGTCCTAAAATATTATTTCCTTTTTGATAGGAAATTATTTTACCTCTTTTAAAATTGGTCAAAGTCGGTTCATTTGGTCAACTAACGATAAAACTAACAAAAATCATCTATTTGGAATACAGTTGCTAATTTTTTAAATGTTTGAGACAATAGGTGACAAAGTAAATATTAAAGTAAAATTTGCAAAAAGATGAAAGGTTTGGGACCGTTGCTGCAATTATTCCTTAAAATAATGTATCAACCCTCGTCTCACCATTCACACTTCATTGCAAGTTCAAATAATATAAATACAACAAATATTTAAAATATATAGATAAATAAAAAAAACATTAATTCAATGTCGACAAAACAAAATATTAAACATTACAAAACGATTTTTATACTTTTAGACATGTCCCAACAAATATACGAGAAAATACAAGGAAATGGTCATTTGACCGAGCCATATTTCCACAATGGCTTTTTACCAATTAAAATATATATATATATAATAATTAAAATAGGTTTTTATATGACATTTCCCAAGATATGCCTATCTTCTACCAAGGATGGCAAAAAGCCTCGAGGGCTCAAGTTGTCCATGGCTCGGCCCGAGGCTCGGTCAAACCGAGCCTAAGCTCGGGCCCAGCCGAGTACGAGCAGGCCCGTGAGCCAAAAAAAAAAACAAAATAAGGTAGCTAGCTGCTGCCTTTGTACTGCCTTTATACAAAGGCAGCTAGTAGCACAAACTGTCTTTTAAATGAGAAAAAAAAAAAGAGAGGTGAAAAAGAGGGGGAAAAAAAGTCGGCTCAGCCCGAACCTCAATTTTATGTCTGAGCTTTTGCTTGGCTTGGGGCAAAAAAAGTCCGTCTTCAAAAAGCTCGAGTCGAGCCCGAACCTTGATTTTCGGCTCGCCTCATTGCCACACCTATCTTCAACCATCAAAGAAAGTAATAAAAAAAAACAAAAATAAAATAAAATAAATTAATAAAAAATTTACACATTTAACTTCAGAATTCAATCGAGAGTTTAGTCCTCGGGTCTACCCAAAACCAACCACCACCAAACCTTTTTTTATAATCTGTATAAGTGACTTATAAGACATTATTTAGGTAGATTTTTCGATGCTAATTGAATTTTAGGGGCCGTTTTGAATTTAAGCTTATTGGAGCAGTCGATGAGAACCGACTGTTACCGACAGTTAAACAATCGGCCCAGCCGACTGTAAAATAGCTGGTTAGCGAACCCTTTATTCTAAATTCGTTAATTCAGAATGAATCAAATCTCCCCTAGTAGTATTCAAAGCTACGACCAATGCGATTATTTCTTTTTTTATTACCTTCATCGCATGAGCTGGGTTCAAAACGTCGTGAGATGGTTCGGTCAATTTCATTGGTACCATTCAATCGAATCCAAGTAGTCGTCCCAATCGATAGTTTTATAGCCGGTTTGGGCCGGCTGTCCTTTTTTTTTATTCCTTTTCTATTTTTTGCTCTTTTTTCTTTTATTTGTTTTTCTTTCGTTTTCTTTCCTTCCTTTTTCTTTCTTTTATAATTTTTTTGGAAATTGTTTTAAAATTTATTTTTGATTTAAATTATAAATATAATTGGTGGTTGGATTTAAAATTCTTTTTAATTGTTCTCATTTTATGATAAAACGTAGCTTTTTCAATTTTCTTTAAATAATATTTAATTTTAATTTTAATTATTTTTTCTTTTTTGTTCTTTTTTCATTTTTTGACCTTAATTTTTTATTTTAAATTTAAATTTAATTTCCTTTTTCCTCCCTTTTTCCCTCTTTTTTTGTTTTTGTTTTTATTAAATGGACTGTGAACAGTCAACTATTCCAGCCTGGCTGGCCATTACCTTCGACCGGTCTCAATATGCAGATTAATTTTTTTCTTGTTCATGCATAAAAAATAATTATAGATCTGGTAAAAAAAATTATACATTTATTACTATGTTAAAATAAGAATTATGGATTAAAACATTTACTAAATCTAATGAAAACGAAATTAAACATATCTAAATATACTTACCGATTCAAAGTGATTGATATTTCCTTACTCAACGTTCGATAAATTACTGAGATTTTGATGTTGAAGCAAATGCGAAATGAGAGAAATTTTATCTATGTTGGAATAAACTGATATAAAAAGTTATCTTGTTTTGAAATTTTAATTGTGAAGTGTTTGGTTTTCACTTGTTAACTAAAATGGTAATAATTTTTTTAGACAACAATATTTTGTAATTATACAACATATTTAAGGGCATTTTTGTCTTTTAACAAGTAAAAGGCTAATGTAGAAATATCATATTATTCAAAATTCAAAGTGAAAATTGATAGATTTGACTCAGCCAAACTTAAAAATACCCCACTACCAAATACACCCTTCTTTGAAATTTCTTCGCCCCATATGCGTGGGATCGGAGTATTTAATTGGGAGGCTCCGAGCGACCTCCAAACTTCAAATCTAAGTGCAAGAAAAGTTGGCATGTGGGACTATGTCATGATGTGAGCTTCCAAACGTGGAAATGAGAGCGAATAGTATCTTAGCCTTTTAAACAAAGCAAGAAAGAGTCCACTTAGTGAAAGTCATCCAAATGCACCAAAAGTAAAAAAAATAAAATAAATAAATAAATAAAATTGAGACATACATATGTTCCACAAATAACATGAGATACAAACATGACCTTTAAAAATCTTGGACAGTAAAGAGAAGTTGGGGCTCGCGATAAGTGTCTCGTTGATCACTGAGGGTTCAAGGGCTTTAATAGGAACAAGGTGTCGACACCTATAAACCTAGCAAAATTTTTTGTTTTGTTTAATTTTTCTTGTCATATCAGACCACTCACGGTTGATCACCAGACATTTAACCCAATGGTGATGGTGGCAGTGGAAGGAATGAGAAAAAAATATAATTTTTTTAAAAAATATTTAGGACTTGTTTGAATTTTTTATTTTATTTATTTTATAGAAAAAAATAAAAAAATTAGACTATGATTGCGTTAGTTCTTTATTTTTCTTTTCTTTTCTTTTTATTTTATTTAAATAAAAAGATTTATTCGTTATTTCATAGCTCTTATTAAGAAATTGAATAAAAATAGATGAAAGGGGTTATTTCAGTAATGGAAGGTGAAAATATAGTTGAAAATGCAAAGATAAAAAATAAAACAAAATAAATTAAAACTTAGGAACGTTTTGCACAATAAGCTCCAAAAGTAGAGATGTTTTTGTGCCAATAACCCCATTATATAATTAAACTTCAAACATTGATCATGTTCAATATACATCCGAATGTACTATCGTCACAACTCCGTAGATCCACATCTCCCAATTAATAGAATAGTTGTCATTGCACCATTCTATGACAAAAAAAAAAAAAATCTAGTATCTATGTACACTTCTCTGTACACCCAATTCATAATATCGTAAAGAGATCGAATACACTTAATTCCATCATCAAATAACATAAATATAATAATTATTTAAAATATACAAATAGATGAGCAACATCTATTCAACCACAAAACAAAATATTAAACAATATCACAATATGATCTTTATACTTTTAAACACGGGTTCCAAACCCGGAGTATTTAATTGGATGCTCCAAGTGTTCTCCAAACTTAAAACCTAAGTGCTAGAAAAGCTGGCATATGTGACTATGACATGTGATGTGAGCTTTAAAACGTGGAAATGAGAGGTGAAAGGTTTCTTAGACTTTAAACAAAGCATGAAAGAATCCACTTAGTGAATTAAGAGTCATCCGAATACACCAAAAGTAACAAAATATATTTCATTTTTAACAAAACAGAGACATACATATGTTTCACATATAACATGAGATACAAACATGATCTTTGAAAATATTGAGAAGGTAAGGTAAGGAAATTATTCTAATCGGTCACCGTGGGTTCAAGGACTTTGATTGGAAAAAGGCGTCTGCAAACTATAAACCTGGCAAAATGCCTGTAAACACATGAGCAACAACAACACAATAGCTGCAAGAAATGTGAGAATCTGCCATGAACCAAACACATATTTCTTCATGAATTTTCCACATTTAACCTTCCAACTTCCATTGTAATACTTATTCACATCTACAATCACTTTGTCTATGAAAGAAACCTTTGTCAATCTAATAGACTTACTCATTGCATTCCAGAGGTCCGCCACCTCTTTATCGCTCTTCAAATGTTTATAATAATCCCTCTTTTACAAAGAAAACTCGCATCTTTTTCCGTGTCAATGATCCCATTCATGAATTCTGTGTAACGAGTCAGAACCATCGGCCTTGATACTCGGCATGCTTCATATGCAACCATGTTCCGTAGAACAATCTCCGAATTCACATCTACACTAATGATAGGGAGATAGAGTGTGGCTGTTTTTACATCGAAATTAATGCTTTGGATGCCTTCATTAGTTGGCATAAAGCACACGCCGACTTCACAGAAATCAATTCCAGAAGGGATTTTAATTTCTTCTATCAATGGATGTTTTTCTATGTCACCATTTGAGTCGGAATCTTCATCTTCTTTCTTCCTCTCCTTTATGTAAGGCACTGAATAATTGTTCCAACAGTTATTTTAACATTTTTAAGACGGGAAGCTTAGATATAATGGTACAAGGCAACTTCACAACCACTTTTAAAGGTTTTGCAAAGATTATGCTTTTGATCCATTGAACTGGTCCTTTTTCTAATTTAGAAAGGATATTCCATACCTCATTAACTAGCCGCCTAACGTAACTCGGTTCTCCTGTGATAGAATCCTTATCGCCTTCCTTTGATTCACCATCTTCCTCAATTTCAGTTATATGATGATCATGAGATTGTTCCTTCAACTTTGGCACGATAACACGGTATGCAAAATCAAGTAAATGAGCACAATCCATTAGCTGTATTTTGGGGAATTCTTTCACCATCTTGAATGGAGAGAGATCTTTGCTGAGTCCAAGTAACATGGAAAGTAACCATTCATCTGCCAACTCTAATGATGGGAACTGAAATTCTAACAATTCCCTCAACACAAACAATGGAATTTGGTTCTCGAGTGTTGGGTTCGAACCCTGGACCTTTGGTCATATTGCTTCCACAGTTTTTAAAGCAAAAACGTGTTCAATAAGTTTGACACTTCTTTCCTTTTTTAAATAACAACATTATACTGGATCATGACACGTGTGATGATGGTGGCCGTTGGATCAGGCTTCAGGATGCTTCTGATATTATTTACTCTGATTGGACTCATTTTTTTTCACTCAGCTGAATCGTCACTTTTTTCTTCAAGGGTTTCTCTCTGCCGGTTTTGAGTTCATACGCTCCTTCTTGAAAACTCTTGGAGTTTTCTCCTCTGTGATATGATTCCTTGAGAGATAATAGTGAGGAAATACAGTAATCTCACTGTAATACTACTGATTGTATGAATGCTTAACTTTTCTGAGTGATTAGTATCAAGAATCTGAGTGATTCTTGAGTTCGGTAGTGGTTTGTAACAGATCTGAGTGATCTGAGTGATTCCTGCGAGAAGAATAGTCCAATCACCTTCGTGTAGAAAGATAAGTCTCTGTGACTATCTTGTGATCTATATTTCTGTATTTTGACTTTCATATTTTGAGCTTTTAGTGCAACCGAGCTAGATCCGTTTTATAATGGATGCTCAACAGGGGATTAGGCTTTAAGCTGAACCTCTGGGGTTTCGGCCGAAAAATACTTGTGTTTTCACTTTACTTTTTGCATTTAAATTTCTGTTTTGAATGGTTGTGTAAATTTTGGTTTAATCGTGAATGACTTCTTTGATTAACATCGAGCATTAGAATATCTCTAAAAATGGCGTTATTTGCTGCCTTATTTACCGCTAATTCAATCAAATGTGACATTCTTGATGGAACATTAGTTGGTACCTTGCCTTTTCCGATAGCACAGACTTGAAGGAACTCGAACAAGAATGATGCATCCACCAACATCATCCATGCTAAAGTTTCGCTGCTATAGTTTAACGGCTTATGGTAGTAAGCTCGAATCTTGGGCTCGAACTTGAGGTATTGATCAACAAGATATTCGAGTTTCTTGTTTGGGATTTCTCTCTGATTTCTTTGTGCAGCAGCAAGTTTATATTTCTCCATATTGTAAAGCTCGGGACGGAAACAGTGGTAAGGGCCTATGGCAACTTCTTGTGGGATGTAAGAATCCGGATCACTCAGCAATAGGGTTTTTGGAACAGTGAAGATACTAACTGGAATTTGTGTGTCTTCTTCAAGTTCTTCCTCTATGGTTCGACGAATGTAAGCAACTCATCTCCCTTCGTCGATGTTGGAGCCAATTCCCAGGCCGGCGCTGGAATGAAAACTCGAGATTGTGTTCATATTAGGCTTAGAAAAAGGCAGTAATTTTATTCTGAGTACAGAAGATTCACTTGTGGTTTATAGCATGATGGAAATCAGGGACTGAAATGGCTATTAATAGACACATATACATGAGGAGATAGATAGCTATTCACTATGGTTCATAATGTGTGGAATCTCCATTCTTGTCTACTTTTAAGGAGCCAATAAGTGCTATTTGATTCACATTTGTACCAAAATTAAAAATTAAAAATAATGGAGTGTTATTAAAGGAACGCATTAGGAATTGTTTGATAAAATAGACTGTATAATATTATTGAACATTGACAAAACACAATAAAAAAATATTGAAGTTTTAACAATTGTAACATAAAATTAAAATAGAAAAAAAAAAATCTTTTTTAATACTTCTTTGTCCAAAATAAAATGCGTCCCACAAAAAAAAATAATAATAATAAAATCTAGAATGTCATAATAAGACTTATTTACCCCTCATATTTCGCAATAAGCAAAAATTCAACAAATAGAAGAAAATCTTAATAGGTTTACCAAACTGACCCAAGACCTCACCAACTGTGATGAAGAATTGTCAGAAGATCAGTTGGCTGTGGTATTGTTGAACTCCATTAGTGACAGACACAAAGACCTTAAAAATGCCTTAGAGTATGGTAGGGATAAACTCACCACTGATATTATAATAACTGCTTTAAGAAATAGGGTACTTGAACTGAAATCTGAGTCTACCAATAAACAATATGGTGAAAATTTACTGATAAAAAGTAAAATTGTTGGTAAATCAAACTTTCATTCAAAATTTTCTAATGAACCTAAAAAGAAGTTTTTTGATAAAGCTAGATCTCAGAATAAGGCAAAAGGTAAAAAGTGCTATTATTGTGGTAAACTAGGTCACTTTGCTAAGGATTGCTATAAAAAACAGAATGATTCTAAAGAGAAGAAAGTCAGTGAAGGAAATACTGTTATGTCATACGACACACTTCAATCTGACAATGGTTTAGTCCTTGTTAATGTTGAAAGAAACTTAAATCAAGAGTGGATCCTAGATTCAGGATGTTCTTTCCACATGTGTCCTAAGAAAAACTACTTTCTAAATTTTGAAAAGTCTAATGGAGGACAAGTTGTCATGGGGAACAACATGACTTGCAAAGTTAAAGGCATTGGAACCATAAAACTTCTTTTAGAAAATGGCAGAATCTTACTTTTAGAAAATACTAGATTTGTACCAGATTTAGAAAGAAACTTAATTTCCTTAGGAATGTTAGATGATATGGAGTTTGACATAAAATTGGGTCAAGGACAAATAAAAATCTTTAGGGGAAGTGATTTAGTCACTTCTATCCCAAAGAGACATGGTCTATACTTCTTAAATGCTAAACCTCTTATGGGTCTGTCTAATGCAGTTTTAAATGATGATTTTAATCTAGCAAAGTTATGGCATGGTAGACTTGGTCACATTGGTACAAAAGGTTTGAATGCTCTTAAAGCTAAAGGTGTTTTTGGAAAATCAAACATTGGTGAAGTTTCAAATTGTGAAGAGTGTTTGATTGGCAAACAAACTAAACTCCCATTCTCATTGAGTACCTTTAAATCAAAGAAAATTCTTGAGTATGTTCATGCTGATTTGTGGGGGCCAGCTTCTACATCTACCTTGTCTGGGTTTAAATATTACTTGCTGATTGTGGATGATTTTTCAAAGAAAATATGGGTTTTTCTTTTGAAAACTAAAGATGAAACTTTTATTGTTTTTAGAGATTGGAAAACCCAAATTGAAAATCAGACTGATTTAAAAATCAAAACATTAAGAACAGACAATGGGCTAGAGTTTTGCAATTATGACTTTGATAATTTCTGTAAAGAACATGGCATTTTAAGGCATAAAACTGTCACCTATACACCTCAACAAAATGGCACTGCTGAAAGGATGAATAGGACATTATTAAATAAGGTCAGATGCATGCTTTTAAGCTCAAGACTACCAAAATTATTTTGGGGGGAGGCTGTAAAAACTGCTGCTTATTTAATTAATAGAAGTCCTACAAGTTCTTTGAATTATAATGTGCCTGAATCTGTGTGGTCTCAAAAACCTGTGACTTACTCATATTTGAAAACTTTTGGTTGTGCTGCATATGCACATCAAAACATAGGGAAACTTGAGGCTAGGTCTCTAAAATGTGTGTTTTTGGGATATGCTAAAAATGTCAAGGGATATAAACTGTGGGTACATAGTGAGAAAGGTTATAGGGTCATTATAAGAAGAGATGTTGTTTTTAATGAGTCTTGCATGCCATGTTTAGAAGGAAATCAAAGAAATGTTTCTGATAATAATGCTCAGATTGAGGTGGAGCCTATTAAATTTGGAAATAACAATGATGTACCATTAGAAGTTGAAAATGCTGATTCAAATCTGAATGAAAATGATATTGAGCAGAGAGAGACTGAACCTGTTAATATCACAGATTTACCTCCTGATGGATACCAATTAACTCGGGATAGGGAAAGGAGACAAATTAGGCCACTTGCTAGATACAATACTGATGAATTTGCTTCATTTTTCACCTATCAAGATGAAACTGAGACTGAACCTTACTCTTATTATGAAGCTATAAAATCAAATGATAGTAAGAAATGGTTAGCTGCCATGGAGGAGGAAATGGACTCCTTATATAAGAATAAGACTTGGGATCTGGTTGATAAACCTAAAGAAAAGAAATTAGTTGATTGCAAGTGGATATATAAAATTAAAGATGGGGAGGAGGGCAACAATAATATTAGGTACAAGGCCAGACTTGTTGCTAAAGGGTTTACCCAAAAACAAGGGGTTGACTATGATGAGATTTTTTCCCCAGTAGCTAAATATACCACTATTAGATGTATTTTTGCTTTGGTTGCTCAATTTGAGTGGGAATTAGATCAATTAGATGTTAAAACTGCCTTCTTGTATGGTGATTTAGATGAATTGATCTATATGAGACAACCTGTAGGTTTTGAAAAGGGTGATCCAAATAAAACTGTGTGTTTATTAAAAAGGTCTTTGTATAGGCTAAAACAAGCTCCTAGACAATGGTATAAACATTTTGACTCATTTGTGTTAAAACTT